ATGTGACCCCTGGACCTCAAACCAGTCATAAGGGTCAATTTTTCGAAATTTAGATTCATACATAATATTTCACATCCATCCATCCATGAATACATACACTTTCCATTGATGTATGGTTTGTTAGGATAGGACAATATTTGGTCGAGATACAACTATTTGAATATCTGGAATCTGAGGGTGCAAAAAAATCAAAATATTGAGAAAATCACCTTTAAAGTTGTCCAAATGAAGTTCTTAGCAATGCATATTACTAATCAAAAATAACGTTTTAATATATTTACGGTAGGAAATTTACAAAATATCTTCATGGAACATGATGTTTACTTACTATCCTAATGATTTTTGGCATAAAAGAAAAATCAATCATTTTGACCCATACAATATATTTTTGGCTATTGCTACAAATATACCCCAGCGACTTAAGACTGCTTTTGTGGTCCAGGGTCACATATGCATTTGTATAAACGATGACTAGATTCACTTAGGATTGATTTGGAGAGCATCCTTTAATCCTCAGTACTGCTTCAGATGAATGAATGCATGTATTGATAGATGAATCTGTCAATCCTATTGTTGCAACTTAGTTGCAGTGAATTAATGCTATCCCTTTCAAATTTCATCTAATTCCAGGTGTGAACAAGTTTTATGATAACATCCAGGAAATGATTGGATACAAGCCTTGTCTATGGTGGAAACTGTGCTGGGTTTTCTTCACTCCTCTAATTGTCGCTGTAAGTAGCCTACCTTTTTCGTTATGATGTGACATTACAAAAGACGTATATATATATATATATATATATTAGGGATGGGAAGATTCCCTGATTCGCTCGGTGCATTGGCATAAAACGTTAACGATGCGATGCATCGGTTTAAAAAGTGTGCATCGGCTACAAGTTGTCATTTATATCGCAATGCATCGTTTCTAACATATTTGCATCGGTAAAAACAGATTTATTTATATATAATTACTAGTGGATGCGCTATACTTTTATTATTTAGAAAGTGACCAATAATCTGTGACCAATATTTTATATGTAGATTGATTTCTCCTCTCTAAACTGTTACTCAAGCGCGTGCTCTCATCACCGCTGCTTTGTGAATATGACGCATCACAACACCACGGATACCCGAGGAAAAACTGGGGTTAAAGTCCAAAACCTGTCGTGAAATAACCTAACAAATCAATCGGGGCTAAAGCGGTTCCATTAACGACAAATTAAATTCACGAAATCTCACTAATTTGTGCACGCTTATTCTTAAAGGCAGGGTATGTGATTTTTCAAAAACACTTTAGAAAACTGATTCGGGCCGAATAGCAAAACAAACTTGTAGCCAATCAGCAATAAGGGGCGTGTCTACTCGTGATGTGGAGGAGAGAGCTTTCAGTGCATGGGACGGACATTAGCCGAGCCGAGCGACAGAAAGATAGAGATGGCGGATAAAAAAACAAAAGAGGAAAACGTCTGCGGAAAGATAAGGCAAGAAGTAGGACCCGTGTAAAATATTGGATCAGCTTTCCAGTGCTGGAGAGAACTCAAGGAGCGGAGGCCTACGATCGGACGCCGAGGTTGCTTTGTTTCTTCTCAATAGGTGAGTAACACAGTGTCTACAACAGCTAAAGTCTGCCTACACCGGACGCGATCAAACGACCGTTGAAAACCATTTGAAATGTGTGTCAGCACATCATAAATAGAACCCGGCAGCAGTTTTCTGTCGGGGATTTGTTGCGCCGCGCCGCTCACGTCCGATTTAGACACGTGTAACATTGGTTTTGCTTTGTTTCACAGAACTAATCGTTGCCTGGGTTGCGTACGTATATGTGGGGCGGAGCTATCAAAATAGGGGCAAGACCCTTTTGGGGTAGGGGCGTGTTTGTTTTGGTGATTTCAAATATAAACATTGGCTACCAGAAATCACTTACACTGCCTTTAAGAGGTGGTGTCACGAGCAACAGACTTGCTGTTGAAAAGTGACAAAGATTAGCAGAGCTAAAAGATGCAGCAACTATCAATGGAAGCACAGCGATTTGTCGTTTTTAGTTGGATACAGAGGCAGAATAGGTATGGCCTATTAAACACCAACAGCTCAGAAACGAAACTTCAGTGATTTAATATCTGTCAGTGTGAACACAGAGGCTTGCACTTAGCAAAAGAAAGCAATACCAAAATAGCAGATGACTTAGGCAGAAGGCCTAGTTCATAAAGACTATGTTGCAGTCTTCACTAATGTTTCTGCTGTGAAATGCCATTTAACGCACAATTAATGTATATTAATATGCACAAAATGTCCAAAACCTTGACGACCTTATAATGAGCCAATGTATTTCTTTGTCTAAAAAACAATGATGCACAAGCATGGCCTTATCCCAAATAGTTTATTACATTGTCCATTTGGATATATTTTCTAATACAGAACACATAATAGCACTTTGAACAAACAAAAAAAGAAACATCCCTTTGGTCCAGTCATTCTATGGTACTCAAGCCTGCATAACAGGCTCCTAAAATAATCTGAATTACTGCAAAAAGAAGAAAACTATGAGGTCACATTGTACAACCTGGACTGTGTATTTTTTCCATCAACCTTACTCTTTCACTGCAACATAAAACAAGTGCCAAACGTTAGAAAGACGGTACATTTTCAGTAACCATGGTGTTTGTCAGTCATTCTGGTAATTTGTAGGTAAAATAGATAAATAAGAATATTCTGGATTACAGAAAATTTAGATTAATTCAATGTGCTGTTTTAGAGATTAGCGATTTAGATTAATCCAATGTGATATGTTTTAGAGATTTGAGGTTTGGACTCCTCAGTAAGGTATTTTGCAGCACTCAATAGTGGAACATTATACTTGATACTCTGTTGTGCCAAATAAATGTTTTATTGCTTTGAATTATTAACTGAAATAACTTCTGAACTAGCATTTTTAAGTTTTCACCTCAGCCATTCATACTGCAAGTTTAGACTGCTGAGAGAATCTTTGTGTGGAGTGACAGTTTAGATAGTAGACAGGTGATGAAAAAATAAACGATCAGTTGTGGGACTATATTCTGTCATAAATCGCATACCATTCATTGCTGAACTTTCTACCGACCGTTACTGGAAATTACTAGTTGATATGTCCCGATCTCAATAAAGTTTACATTCGCTTTTGGTCCATGAATTAGATCTCGCTCGGGACACGTGCTGTCTCTGGAGGTTCCAGAATTAAATCAACATATTTTATGTTCCGTCCATTGCCACCAGGTGATACGGATTTCGTTGAAACTATTATTTTGTTGCAAAATAGAACAAACATGACAATATTCTTTTTAAAATGTAGGCTACATTTAAAATGTAAAATGTTCACTTAATATTACCTTTTTTTGTTGAACTGTTGTAAAAATTGTCACATTTGCCATTGTTTGGATATTCAATATAAATTTGCATTCTTGCTCGTATCTTAAACATGAAAACAATAACACGCACAGAGTGTGTCTGTATCGAAGAGAGTTTAAATCGATCTCAATGTACAGTGCAATTTTTGTCAATATTTGCTCTTCATGCTATTAAGTGAAGATCTACTTTAAGATACGTTGAACAGTAGCACGATTTGCTAAAGCAGCATATTCAGCAGGAATCCTATCACATGCACACTGCCTTGACTGGTTACGGCACTCCCATTTTCCTGTTTTTACATTAGAAGCGGCATTTTGCTTGT